CCAGCTGCTGCTGTGCTGCTGCTTTGCTGCCCTCGGTGCCCAGAAGCATTTCAAATCTATTATTTATGAACCTTGGAAGGGATCCTTCGGTGCGATGGGATTTCTAGGAAACAGGATGTACTGTAACTTTATTTTAATGTATTTTTATTTTATTTATTAGGTTGTTTGGTTTTATTTCTTCTTTTATTTTGTTGTTGTTGTTTCTAAAGGCTTATATTTGCAAGACATTTCTGAATGTAGGCTGTATCTGAAAAGCAAAGGAAAAAACCAATGTGTACGTTAGCACCATAAAAAGTTATGGCTGGTTTGGCCATGTGTAATTTGACAAAAGCTTTTCATTTTTACCTAAAATCCACTGTATTATGCTAAGGTGGAAAATATGATGTGCGGTTTGGAATTTGGCTGAAACCCACACTGCGTACAGAAACTGTTTTCTGTAATGCAATTAGAGTCTGGGTTTAAAATTATTTTCTTTTAATACACTATGTGTGGCAGAAGATAACATTTATTCACGTTTGGTTATTAAAGAAAAATCATTGCTTGTCATCCCGAGATTAAAACCAATCTGTTTATAACGTAGGAGCAGAGAGGAACCTGACCGTCTTCTTTTGTGGTACAGGAATCTCGGTTGGATTCCAGTTACCTGTTCCCTCCTAGGCAGGAGGGCAGGACCCGAGTGACATTTATGAATGTTTCATAATGTCCATGGCTCTCTTTGCACGGTCGATGTGTAAGCGACCCAAGCTCTTGACCCGTGTTGAATTTTCATGGCGGTTTTTAAGCGTCTTGCATTAAAGTAGCCCCTAGTTTAAACCCCATTTTATGTATGCCTTAGTGTGCAAATGGATTCTTTTGGTCATGGTTTTCACAAGCTGGAAGTTGCTCTGTAGCTGAGATGAACCAGATGAGTTGTGGTGTTTAATGCTGTAGGATGTTGAGAGAGGCTTGCAGTCTTGCCTTGGAAAGTAGTGACGAAGCCATGAAGTTGGAAAACAAAAGGCTAATTGCACAGCTGGTGTGGCTTCCTCCTAACAGTCACTGGGAGCTTGGCTGTGGTGCTGGTGAGACTGGGTTGGTGCTGTTTGCCCAGTGCAGAGGAAGGAGCGGTTGCAGATCTCTGTGTGTTCCAGGGCCTTCCAGGTGATGATGAGTGGCTTCATGCTGCTGTGTGCTGCTACAGCCCCGGTCCTCAGGAGGTTGGAAGCAGGACAGATCAATGTGGCCCGTTATATCTGGTTCAAGTTGCAGCCATGGGACTATTTATTTTAACTAGTGTGGTGAGGAAAATGGCTTTTGGCCGCTTTACAAGTTACATGAATGTAAACAAAGTCTTCTGAAGCCACACATCCAGGAGTTTTCTGTTTGTGTAACTGAGGTGTAGCTTGACTGTAAAAGCCCCATATTCTTGGTTCAAGCTGTTTCTGTAAGTGTTTAAAGCAAAAGACTGGAGTGATGCTCAAAGGATGGTATTAGAATTGACTACAGCACGTAACAGTCCCTTCTTCTGCACTCTAAGCTGAAGCTCAGACCTGTAAGGAGGAAGTTGGGATCTCTTTTAGCCCTCTTCTTGTGTTCCTTGTCCCACGTGACCTAGACATGCAGAACACATTATAGTGCAGAATTAAAGCCCGACCTTGGTGGTTCTGAATGGCTGCTCCTAAGCTCTGGTTTTGATACGGCCCACAACAAGGTTGCATGATGAGCTTGGGGTGGTAGATTACAGCTGTGCTAATGAAGTTATTATTTTGAGACTAATTGAAATCGAAGGTGCCCCAGCATCCTTCTAGGATTACATTTGCTGTCTTGGCAATCATAATAGCCAATTTCCATGTCTCTGTACATCTGCCATTATCATTCTGCTAATGCTTGGATGTTAGAGCTGCAAGGGGATTCTCTAATGAGCTAGTCAAAGACTCACAAAATAGACTGTAATTTGTAATTTGGCTCCTCTCTTTAGAGTCATTAATTTGCTGAGTAACTAATCCACCTTTTCAGATACACAGACGTATTGCTGATATCTCACCTACTAAAATGCATTTTAGGCTACTGAAGGATAAATGTAGTTGATGAAAATTAGTTCCTATGTGATCAGGGGGACGTATTTCTCTAAAAGAGGAGGGTATTCGTCTCCTCAGTGGATGCAAGGCCCTGTATGCCACAAAAGTCTATGGGTCTAGTCTAAAGGTGAAATTTTACTGCTCTTCTGGAAGTATTTGTACTTTGAAAGATGACAATTTTCATGTTATAACTGCATTAAGGTTTGAGGAAACAGCTTTCACTTTGAGTTTACTGCTCTCTTTCACTGGTTCAAGGTCAATGTCCCACTTTTACCTTATGTTTTGTAAATTGGTCTGAAGGATGCTCTCAAGACCACTTGGACTGATGTAGTTCAGCAGTATTTTGCTGGAAGTCCTTACCTGCTGTGTTACCTATTTAAAAACATTGGTGTCAGCCAAACTCTTAATGTGAGAGATGGTCCTGTCACGAAATCCACCTTGAACTGTTCCTATGCCTGCAGCCCAAGTGGAGGGATGGGTGTAAGAATCAACCCACCCTATCTTGTGCCTCCAGACTGTCTCCTGGAAACTGAATGGGAATAAATTGGTTGGGGTGCCCTGGGGACAGCTGGAATGTATGGCTCACACTGTGTCTGTATAAAGAAGGCTGAATTGTCTGACATGGACAATCTGACAACTCTAAATCCCACCTTTTATTTTTTTTTTTCCTTTTGACTAATAGTAATTTCAGACCACGAAATTGATGTTATAAATGAGGCAACTTTGGGCTTTTTTTTGGCTTGCCTCTCTACTACGGCGTAGTTTTCATTGGAACTACTGGGTTAAATACTGTATGTTACTGCCTTGTAAGCAATGGCTGTGAAAGTAGGTCCAGCAAATCACACTCCACCTTACTGGAGCTTTGCAAGTAGAGAAATCAGGTTGTCCTTCACCTTACAAAAAAAAAAAAAGGGAAGAAAAAGCCAACAGCAGGTGATAAATTCATCAGAGAATAAACAAAAATGCCAGCAAAACACACACAGGCAAATGCTTGGTATAAGGTAGCACAAAAGTGTGGACATTCAGCTCATAAAGAGGTCAAAATTACATGTCTTAATTAAAAACAAAGTGTTTAAGGGACAAACTCAATAAGGAAATTCAAGCTGTGGTGACCAAGAACATTTAGGAACTGGGGGGAAAGGAAGATCAAGTGGATGTTGTCTCTGTGACATCCTGAAGTAATTCCTCTTTGTATTTAAGTTTCATGATATGCAAATGCCAGCTTCTGAATTATAGCTGCAGTGATGTACCAAATGTTTTCTAGCACATCCTATTGTGAGCAGAAATACCAGTGTCGTCAAAAAAAAAAAAGTGTGTAAATATGACTCATAAATGATTTCTGAGAGATGTGATTTATTTTTCATATTTTTCAAGATGCATTCCATTTCAAATAAAGAGGTATCTATTGAAAGAGCTCTCGATATGTTGGAGGAATGGTGTTTGGTGGGCTACCTGTTAAAGCCTTATCTAAGCTTTTCCAATGTCTTAAGCTCAATCTAAGAGCCTGAGAGGAACACTTTGAACCTACGTAGATTCCTTCTCAAGGAAAGGTCCACTTAGATGCCCCATTAGTCTTTATACATAGCACAACCACGAGGCTCAGAGTCCTCATTTTGGCTTCTGTGTGTGATGCATGAGCACCCACAGAGTCCTGCTAATGTCAGTAATACTGTGCTTGGCTTCACAGTCCACATACAAAACAGATCACTGGGACACAGACTTCAGGCTCACAATCTTTACCCATGAAGTCTTCCTCTGTGTCGCATTAGGAACCTAAAATGAAGCATTAAGTGTGCTCTGTTGCTCTTTTTTATGTATCTGAAGCACTGTGATTGAATTTCAAGTAACCTGAAAGTAATCCAGAATGAACACTTCCACCATTCAGTGTATCCTCCAACCTGTTCTCTTCTAGCATTGTGGGAAAAGAAATGAGGTATGACAAGAAAACTGTGTGAAGACTTCTGCTGCTTTGGGGTCTCTGCAGAACTGCAGCCATTCAATTGCCTTGAACTCCCCTGGGATGAATTTTCATTGCAGCAGGTCCTCATTTTTAAGCATCTTCCAAATGTGTATTAACTTCAGAAGCACAGTGTGCATTGACCTAGACTTACTGGTGCTGCCTGCCTGTGCTGGAGAGATGTCAGTAACCTCTTCCATCAGAAAGCTATTGCTGTACAAGTTTTCTTTTCAATAGTAAACATGCAAAATGTAGACATTTGAACTTAATATTTGATATGCAAATGATGACTTAAAGAGCTGACCTCTCAGAAGTGCTAGTTCTCAGAAGCTTTGAAAAGCCAATTGAGGATCTGTGGATTTGTCTGTTCAAGGGCCCAATGGTGCTTACAGCTTTTGGAGATGTCCCTTATGAGCTTTTAGTGACAGTGATAAATAACTGTCTCTTTAAGGGCATAAATATAATAGAGCATGAATTAAATAATTTGCAATGTCTGCTCCTGCGTCAATGGTGATATCTTCATAAAGGTGCATTAAAAACATGTTTCTCTGCTTTAATGGCCTTGAATGTCTCCAGGGATGGCACATCTATCACCTGCCTGGGCAACCTATTCCAGTATTTTGCCACCCTTGTTGTATGAAAGAAGACCAATCTAAATGTTATCTTTCCCCTCTGAAATGAAGTCTAGACCAGAACAGATTCTTTCAGTTTCATGGAATCCACAGCATAGCTGAAATGGAACGATTTTCTTTACAATTGCACCCAAATTGTAACTAAACCAAAGCCTTCGCCTGCCTGTTTCTAGCCCAGGAACATCTGTCCTTCCTAGAAAACACCTAAATGACTTTCCTCACCTTCCTTTATTTATTTTAAATCAACTGTTAAGTTACTTATAAAAAGCTTATTTGCAGTTTATGAAGTTACAAACTACTGTGGGTGTTTGTGATGATGTTTGTTCTGTCTTTGCACTGGGGGATTGTTGATGTGTGAGGCGTAGGGACCCTGGAAACACCACACTGCTGTTACACATTGCTCACAGTGTTGCTTTGCACCTTGCCTGCTGAAGATGCACAGAGGAAAAGGCGGTGGCTTTGGTCCTGCTAAGAGCTGAACACCCTCAAGGTGTCCTGACACCCAAAGGACCTGGGAGCTGATTGGGACCTCACAGTGAGGCTCAGCAACTTGTGGGGTCCTGGCCTACTGCTACACACTGAACGTACAAGGAAAGGGGCAGCAGCTCCTGGGAAATGAGGTTGTGTTGCTGGCTACCGTCTCCATGAAGCTTCTGCTCTGTGTCAACAGCCTGGTTTGACTGCAACACCTACAGGTTTTCCTTAGGATACTTGAAGGGAAAGACAGAGGTGAGGCTTCTGTGCTTAAGTGCTTGGGATTATTTTATGTTAGGTTTTTAGGACAAAACAGAGGCATTTACCCCAGTATAGTCTCATCAAAGTCACTTTAAATAACCCAGTTTTACAGCTCTGCCAAGTAATTCTGTTAGATGTCTCTAGCAATGCCAGCCACCACTGACGGGAAAATGGTTGGTTGGATGGGGGCTTGATTTACCTTTTGTGTGAAATTGTGGTATGACAACAGTGTATTTTGCATAAACAAAGTTTTTATTGACCCTACTTCATAATATTTCTCTTGCAGTACTTTGTAGCCAGTCATAGTAGATTAACCAAGACAGTAAATGCATATAGAATGACTGTTACAGTGAAACATACAGTGCTCTGTGGTCAGCACAGTATTTTACACAAAACAATTTTCCCCATGTTTTGTAAAGCTTCCAGCAAGATGAGGAAATCACTGCTTTTGTTTTTAAGATCTTGTCAGTGTTTTGTAAATACTTCTGATATTTATGACTATACATATGGTTTCAATTATACCTTGCAGAGGCTCAAGGATTGGGTCATAACTCTTAAGGAGGGGATTATTTCATTAACGGTAATTTGTGTTGGGTTTTGTTGCTCAGCCTTCAGGATCTTTTGAACCTACTGCCATTTACAAAGGTAAAAGTACAGCATGTAGTAACAGCAGTGAGCCTGCAACTCAGAGAACAAATCCAGCCTGTTGGCTTGGGTGCCAGTGCCAGGGTCCTTTGAGGGAACGGCTCTCTGTGTTGCTGTGTGCTTTGGACCCAGGCCTGGGGATGATAACTGCCTGTACTGGCGATAGCACCTCTCTACAAGGCTCTCAGCCCACTTGTATATCATATCACTGTTTTGGAGAAGAGGAAACTCAGGAACAGAGAGCCCATGTTGCCTGCCCAAGGTCATGCCCTGGGAGAGGGACAGCAGCATTCCATCCGTAGGCAGGGTCCCTGTTCCTGCATGAGAGCGCTGCCTCTTGCAGGAAAGGCTACTTCATTTTCTGGGTTTGGTACGGACCTCCCTTAGAGCCAACTGCAAATGCAGTGTCCAAGCCCCCTGCTGTGCCACAGGTCCTTGGATGGAAACCCAAATGAGTGATTGTCCTGCCAGCTAAGTTCCAGCCTTAGATCATCATCGTGGTGCAGCTACTTGCCTGGTGGAGATAAGACCAAGAAAAGCTGTTTAGGTTTAATGTGCGATTTAGCAGAGTTTTGGGATGATTTAGGATTATTGAAACAGCTTCTGGTTATTCCCAGCAGTAGGTGTTGTGCAAACAGCATACTAGAAGTGGAGGGATCTGTGAGTTGTCACCCATTTCTGGAACGATTAATCTCCTCTATTTACTGCGGATTACAAGGACAAAGAGGGGTTATCAGCTCTATAGTAACTTGAAAGGACTGTATAGATGTGAATGCGATGTTAATGCAGCTTTTCCAGCCTGCTAACTGCCTTAACTAAAACACATGAAACTAAGGGGGAAGAAAAAGGGGGAGGGGGAATAATTTTCATCTACCATTCTGCTACCACTTGAGCAGTTCAGTCAGAAAGGAGTTTTGAGAGAAATCCTTTTAGCCAGAAGCACTTATCCCAATCATGGGTTTTTCTACCAGCAGAAAGACATGACTGATTCACAAAGCTGTAGCAGCTCATAGACAACTGGTTTATCCTAACCCGCTGCTGAAGGGAGATGGAGCTGTGTGAGTGTATCATTGTGGGCTTTTGCAACAGCCCCTCTGTGGAGCTGGAAACCCCTCCGTGCTCTTTTCTGTGCCAGCAGTTACTGCAATATGCAGATGACCTTGCTTAGGGGCTTTTCTTGTGCAGAGATGAACAGGAGAAAACTTACTCTGTTGTTTTAGAAGTCAGCCTTGAAGTGGAAAAGCTATTTCTTTATTGTCTTTGTGGGGGCTGCCATTACTCTGAGCCTACTGTAGAGTGTGCTTCCAGCTGAGCTGGACGTGTACTGGCCACTTTTTTCGCTTTTATCATGATTGTTAATGTTTCCTGTTCCACTAAGCCACGTTTCCCTGGTACTCGTCCCGAGTGCTTGGCTCCTAAACAAAGTCACAGCTCTTGTCACAAGGCAGCAGGCTGCATGCTTATCCTTCACGCAAGTGATGACTGAGGGCTCAGCAGTAGGGAAGTAACGCTGACAGCTCTGCTCTTGGAAGGCAGATTGTCAGCATTCCTCACCAGGGCACCCGGCCGGCCTGGGAAAAGGCTATTGTTTGTGGGGGGAGGCTCTAAATTAGACTGACTGTCCTTCCAGAGCCAAGGAAGATGAAGACGGATGGTTGGCCGATATCCTTCTGAGCACAGGTAGAGTCTGCTCAGAAGCTGCAAAGCCTGAAGCAAGTGCTATGCTTCTCCACGTGCAAGCTGAGTGGCTGGGTGCAAAGAGAGAGGGGAATCTAATGGCTGAGAGGGCAGCAAGACATTATAAAATGCTGGTAATTATCAACAACAAGCCATTTCCTCCCCCTATTATTGCTGTTAGAGAAAAGGCAGTAGCTTACATCGAAGGGAGGAAGATGGCTCACTGGGTGGATATCTCTGGGATGAAACTGAGATCATTCCTGCAGCTAGTCTGTGGGCCCACTCCTGTGTTTAAGCATCAGCCCAGGGAGCAGCAGCTGCAGAGCAGCATTGAGCTGCCGCCTCAGGGAAGCTGCTGCAATCACTCCCAAACAATCTGGAAACTGTTCCCCCGTGTTTTCCTGAGGGCTTAAGCAGCTCGCAGTCATGGCCCACAGACATCTCCTGTTGTGAAACTGCAGCCATGGGGCGATCAGTTCCCTGCCATCCTCCCCATCATCCTTACTCACCGGGAGGGAGGCCAAGGAGGTGCCTCTGGAGTGACTCAGGGCAGGCACCAGGGAGGGCTCTGGGCTTGCCTCCTTACTGCTGGTGCTGGCTATGTCTGTTGGAGAAGCCTTCATGCTCTGAAGGCCTCGGGCATGCCAAGGAGGAAAGGGCTGTCTCTCATGATCTTGAAGGTGCTTGATAGACCTCCTGAGACGGCACATCCTGGGATATGCCATGCCACTGCCTTGCTGGTGGCTTCACCAGTGCTGCTGTTCCTCTCCACAGTTGTGGAGTGGTAACACTGAGCAGCTGAAGGAAACAGTGGTCTCCAGAACACCTGCAACCCTGCAGTTTTGCTGCTAATAACCTCAGGAATAGCTCTGCTGGCTTGCCTTGAAATGGGGAAGGTGCAATAAACTGAACGTGTGAAATAAACGTATCTTGAGAATGGAGGTCCCCTTGCCCTGTGAGCAGGGTGCTAGCAGTGCCAGGTGTGGGAGCACAGCACCATGCTTGGCACCTTCATTTGCAGGCTGGGGGTCTTCTTTCTTCCTAGGTTTTCCCTAATTCAGCTTGTCTCAGCTGCAGAGCCACCTCCCAGAGGGCATTGTCTTTCTCAAAGGAAGTTATAAATGGTTTGGTCGTTTTCCCTGTTAGCCGAAAATCTGCAGCAAACTCTTTTGCTGCCACAGCTCTGTTAGAACGATAAGTGCTTACGCAGGTAGCCTGGATGTAGTACTTAGTTTTCGTTTGGGACAACGGCAGGGCTCTAACACAATGCAAAGCTTGCATAAAAGTAAAGATTATATGTATCTGCAAAGCTACAGATAATCATGGCTACATAGCTCATTTTGCTGGCTTTGATTTGCTAATGTTTTAATTTAACTGAATCTGGGCAGATTTAAAGTGGCAATTTTCAGAGCATTCACGTAAGGATTTTTTTTATTTTTCCAATGCGTTCACTCAAAATGAAGTTGAAACCTTAAATCAAGCTGAGTTTGGGAGAAGTAATTCAGTTTTGCTGAGCTCTGGATATGTTTAGTCTTTCTCCAGCCCTCTTTTCTTTCCCTCATCTCTGAGTTTAGCATACAGCATTTAGCGGGAGAGGTTTGCAAAGCATAGCAGCTGTTTCACTGTCCATTCTCTGTGCCCTACTGAAGAGGCTAGTGCCTTGTAAAGATATGGTAGCCCTGGAGTAGCCACAGCTATGTCCTCTATTCAGTCTATTCCCAGCCATCATCTATTAGGTTTGCCCTTGTAAAATGAAACTGGCATAGCTGGGGCTTGCTCTTAGTTCAGCTGTCACAGCCCTCCCTGACCTGGCCCAGGGGTTCTTGGTAGGCAAAGCCCTACCATGGCAATCCTGCATAGATGTCCTTCAGCAGGGGCTTTTTCATTGCCACACCTTTATTGCAATCACAGGAAAGTATTCCCAGACATGAAGGAGATGGGATTGTGCTTCCCCTCACAGCTGCTAACGCTGGTCCTGTGTGTGATTGATTAAGGTAAAATCTGGTTTGCCTTTGCTGCTGTCATTGCTGTCTTGCTGCTGCAGGCAAGAGTTAAGGTGAACTGAAAGCAAGGACAGATCTAAAAGCAGGGTTTATTTATGTGATACTTCTAGCAGGTCTTCCACTCCTGTGCTTCGTGGCCTTTCTTTAACCTTGACTTTATGCAGCTGCTGCAAAATCCAATGGATCCCTGACTTGCAGCCTGGGAGGCAGGATCAGAGTGCCATGGTTTGTATGTACCATTCAGAAAAGGAAAATACTTTTAGAACCTTAAGAATTCCTGGTTCTTGGAGAAATGCATGTCAGGAGACCAGGACCTCATTCAGCATGGCCCTTATGCAGGTCCCTAACTCCTAATAGCCCGGCTTTCTCTGGAGCTGGGAGGGTTAGCCCAGATTTAGGGGTCCTCATGAGACACCCCTGTTGCTGTGTTCGAAGGCACAAGTATACAGCTGTTTTCAGCTCCCAGCTGCTGACTACATGACACTAGAAAGCTGTATCTGCAATTTACTGCAGTTGGTCTATTTAACAGTGTTGCTATAGCTGCTACAATGTCACTGGGCTGAGTAGCTCAGAACTGCTGTTTTAATTGCTGTGCTCACTCCCATCCCATAAAAATCCTCTGTTTTTACTAACCCTGTTGCTGTTCTCCCTTCACATCCTTTTTAATGG